ATATAAATAAATCATTAAACTAAATTTTGTAAATTAAGAAAATTTATTTTTTTAAACATGGAAAGAACATGCCATATTTTTAAAATTGGTTAATTTAAAATAATTTAATTTTTTTAAAATGTATCCATTTTAAGATATGCATGTAAAGAAATTAACATCAAAATATGTAAAAATTGATTTTAAAATATTTTATTTATTAAAATAAAAAATAAAATCTAGTACAATTTATAGATGTGTGTTATTTTATAATTCATGACTATAAAATATTTTTTTGAACTTTTAATGCCTAATTGGAATAAAATTACTTGCTACAGTTCGTTTACACCTTCAGATCTGCAAATACTAATTTTTATATTGATTAATTTAATCCAATACTAATCTTGTTTTGTTATTAATTTTATAATTATCTTCAAAATCCCTATGAACTTGGTCTTCCCCACCATTGTATAATGGGTATATGCCACAAGAGTGAAGATTATTCCTTTGCTTATACAACATGATCATTAATTAATATAGAATATTTAGCCGCTGGCATGTCGGTTTTTTATCATTTTTTTGTTTTGAACGAGGATAATTGGGGAAAAGAGGAGAGAGAAATTGCTAATTCAACGGTTAAAATTTTGATATTTATCAAGAGTTTAGTACACTTAGATTAATATAACTAAAACTGCGGGTGTGATTTTTCATCAATTAATCTAATATATTGAAGTGTTTAACGTAGTTTAGTCAATAAGCACAAACTAATAGTTTATTGCAACATGGAACTTCTTGTGTGCTTAAATGATTAAAATTTTAAAATTTAAAATTAAATAATCAATTTTAAATTTTAAATCAAATAAAAAAAATTAAAAATAAAAAAAAATTATCATCTTTTGTATAATCTTATAAAAAAAAAATTATTGCAGCATGGGTAGACGATTTGCATATTTAATACAACTGTACAAGTTCCAAGTTTTAAATTACGCAAAATACTTAATACACCCTGACGGAATGACGGTTTTCTATTTCATTGTTTTCCTCGCCAGACTGGTATCCCCCTTTATTTTATTTTATAGGGTGTTTATTTTAGCCTTTCAAAAATAATGATTAGTTACTAATTTTAACTAAATAAATTATATATTATAAATTATAAATAATAATAATGATTAATTATTAAATATTAATTATAACTATTAACTATCAATTATATCCAAAAAAATTAATTTAAACGGTCTTTTATTTACATAATGATAAATAAGATGAGAAAATTTGAAATAAAAATTTAAAATTAATAATTGATATAAATTAATTTATTTAAAATATTTAAAAGTAAAATTTATATTATTTAAAATTTTTTTATTTTTAAGACTTGTAATATTATGTATTAATTAATTTAGTGACATGATATAAGTTACATAATTAATTCTAAATTTTTGTTATAAATTTTTG